TTGCCACTTAAAAAAATGAATTAAATCTAAAAATCATACATCTGCAATTATATCATACTTTCACACATTCCGAATACAGAAATTTCCTTATAAAATCCTTATCATATCACCTAATATTCCTTACTAATGCTCATTTAATGAGAAATAACACCTTTTCAATACAAAATTGCATCCAAAAAATGCTCCATTTTCTTATGATTGCACGTATAAGTTTGCGTTATAGGAACCTTCACATTTTTAGTCCTGCAGTTTAACTTATGGAGCTAAATGTTATCTTTTCCAAGACGGAATATTTAATTTAATTCAAATTTCCCTGCATTACACACTGCAATTTATTCAAAGAATATTTAATTTATTCAAATCTCCCTGCATTACACACTGCGTTAGTACAGACTATCCATCTTAAAACTATTTTCTTAACACAGGATTAAGAACCAATTACAAAATTATCATGTTCCACTGTAAAATATTTACTGTTTTAAAACACAAATGAGGTTAGAACCTTTAGCGAATTTTAAATTGCTTGCCAGAATTTCCGACTAATACAAAATCTACTACAGAAAGTAATTACAGTTATCTGCAGATGAAGCTTAACAGTTTTTATCGGCTACAAATTCACTATGAGTGGGAAAACCTGAACTTTGTTTTATCTAGGCTTATTAGTATGCATACAAAAATCATTCATCATTCCTTTATCTCACTTTCAAGTAGAATTTTTATATATTAAGTACATATATGTTACATATTATTAGAGAAGTCCGAAAGATTATCGAGGAAAAATGCAAGAAAATATTCAATACTCACATAGTCTATCAAGAAAATCCCATTCACTGCGAATAGTGAAACTTTGCCTATTTGTCGATGGAATGTAAAATCTTGTAGCACATTATTATAGAGCTTGAATAAAACATCCTTTCCTATTTATTAGCAGTGTAAGCTTAAAAAAAAGCGTACTATATTCTTATGATAATTTATCAAGCCTTAGGAAGTAATGAACCAATGTTTTGAGAAATTTACCTTCTTTTTCTAAATCTACTCTTTTATACTAAAAGAGAAAATTATGTGAAACCTTCGCTTCTTCCTACGGAGACATACACATTTCTCCAAACAAATGAAAATCGGAATATTTGACACTACCGTAGATTTAACTTTAGACATGCTTTCATCGAAAAAGAAAAATAATATGTATCCCACTAAAGAACCTTGAAACACGATCAGGTACATATCTATCACTCAATAGTTCGAATTAACAGCAAACTTTCATACTTTATTTTAATGATATATTCAACGATTTTCGTTTCTGGGTTAAATTTTATACGTCTGTCACAGATGTTTCAATGGGTTTCACACTGCAAAAGAGTTCTAGTTTTGACTAAATTAATTTACAGCATTGAGGAATATATTGATTATTTTCAGAAGAATTCCTTTTAGAATTATATATATTTTTTTTACTTTGAAACATTTGAGTAAAGCACTTCTTTGCGCCATGGACAACCAAACACTGCAATACATATTTTTTGAAAATATGAAACTTTCTTTCCTAGAAATACCAATAAATTCCACTATAGGCAGATGATTTAATTCATATTATGACTTATAATATATTATTCTTATTATGACTTATTTTTCATATTATGACTATTTTCAAATAGAAAAGCACGCCAGATATTTACGCAGCATCATATTATCTCAAATATTTTAAATGTTAAACCCAATTTTGATTATCTGGAATATCAACAGTATTCTCAACATCAAGTATAGAGATATCTCCGTTAGAACACATCTGACATTTCCTGCTTTTACTTCACATATTATGTAAATGACTTCAAATTATTTTAACTAATGAGGAAATTATTTGAAGTTTTTTCTAAAATTGAACCGATTTATCCAGCTCTTTGATTTATAAAATAAGAAGTACTGAAAACAAAAAGAAAAAAAAGCATTTTTTATTTCAGAATTTAGAAAGAGGTTTGTGCCAATAAGAGTGGAAAATGTGAACTCCATGCACGATTTTAATCGCTTCATACTAAATGTTTTAATACTATTTTATAGACTGTTAGAACATATCCTATTCCTTTTCAAAGAATTTATATTATTTCACATTATTTAGGAATACAGTGAGAGGTTCAGTAGAACGATACTAAAAATTTTAAGAAGAAATCAGGTATTTTTTCCTCTTTGATAAAAATTTATGAATGGCTGCGATATGTCATAAGCGTTTGAAGCCTTCGTATATTATGAAGCAGTTTCAAAACATTTAGATATTTTCAAAATCTCAATTGCCATGGAAGCATTTAGATATTTTCTTACTGAAGTTATATCATTTCAGTCGAGCTTAAAGACATGTTAAAAGACTATACTTATTACATGACTTGATATATTTCTTGTATATTTTCCAAAAGTAGAAATTTTTAATATGCATATGCAAGCTATTACTTTCAATTAATTAAATTTTATACTCATATTAATTAGCACTTTTATTCTGCAAAACTATTTTAAGTTCCACATTCAGTGCTCATATATACTCTTAATATTCATCCATTTCGCTTAATAGTACAATTACACAACACAAACTAGAATAAAAAGCTGAATAACCTATATCGCATACAGAATACAGATCAGAACGTTCAAAAATTCGCGCTCCGGATCTTTTGATTGCTAGCTAGACGTGCTACTGTTACACCACGATCACGGAGAAAACGATAATTCCTTAATATATAGCTCTGCCTCAACTTGGGACTTTTCCTTCTGTGCAGTTATAAAAAAGCAAAAGAAATCCTGAGCAATAGCCTTTTCCACTACGACAATAAAAAACTTAAATGCTCAGAAAAAAATATTTGCTAAGTTGAAATGGAATTATGAAGCAAGATGAGTGTATCAAGAGATAAGATAATAAATAAAAAATTCTTTCGCAATGGTTGAGGAATTTAATGAAAATAATCAAAATTTAAAATAACTGAAGGTTAACAAACAATTTCATAAAAATTAAATGAGTATGGTAATTGGATAAAAGACAGAAAGATTCTTTAGTAAATGCAAATTTGGCAGCAACAGCACACTACAATTAAAATTCTGCATTCTGCTGTGCAAATTCACACGTATTTCTCTGAGCTATCAATCATTGTCTGAAAATTTAACATTTAGAAAAAACGTTTAAACGTTTAACGTTTTAAAAATTTAGAATATCGTTTAAAACGTACATATCGATGATAATAGTATAAACGTATAATGTCAATTTTTTCAAGTATAACGCATGCATTTTTAATATTCTTATGATTTGCAGTATAGAAAAAGTCTCACTTCAAAATCTCCATGCTATGCTAGCATAAGCACCATAAAGAGAAATTTGACTGCTAGGATATTTTAAGATGTAAATGAAATTTTATTTCCACATCTAATCATACTAAGCCAAATAAATGAGTAGCTAATTTCTCTGATTCTCACTTCCTAAGAATTGGACTGGATGATGCAGTAGCTGTATTAAAACAAACGAAAATATTGATAAACAGCCCACATGAAGCCCAGCCTATAGAAGGTATTAAGAAAATACAAATTAATGAAACGGAGAGCAGCATAAGGAGAACTACTTAACTTTCGGCTTTAAAAGATAGTAATTTCTAAAAATTCAAGGTATCTAACACTGAATTTGGACAACAAACTTTTACTCATCCGAAGGTCATTTTTAGAAAAAAGAATTTCAATCATAGCGCAGTATAAATCCTTGTACATTTCCAAAATATTACTTGCAAACTTTGCACATGTGCACAAATACAGCTTTTTGCGAGTTACTTAGTTCTATATTTAAAGGTATCATAATTTAAAGAAGAATAACAAATACAAATGCAGAAGTTTTGCCCAAAAGGTAAATTTCAAACGTCGCATCTGTAACTGAGAAAGCAGTAGAAGCGGTAACAGAAAAATAATCATCATCAATATTATAATCATTTACATCAATTAATCCTATGAAATAATCATTTACATCAATTAATCCTATGAAACTTGCGAAAGTCAAACTGACTTACTGCTTATCAAGTATTTCAATATAGAGCATCGGAAGATCAGTCCAAAGTTCGCCAGAAACTGAGAGCTTAACCTACAGTCTGTTTATATACTCAGACAAAATTCTAATTACTTAACCTATTCGTTTCGGGCTACAATAAAAAATAAGTAAAAATGGGAGGCACTTTATCTTACAAATGTTCGACACGTTTAAGCGTTGGCTGGCAGTTCGTATTGTCGTAAACGCTGTTCGCTGTCTCACTGGCAGCTAATTGCAGAGGACTAATCTGATTACCGGAATACCCTCCATTTCTTTAACCCATAGAAGAAAGTTGTTATTTTTTACAGCTCATTAATAAGAAGCCCATGTCGTATAGTCGTGTAGATAAAAAACAGAGGGGATGAATACTTGAAAAGAAAAAGAAACGATTTCCGAGGTAGAAACCCATTATTTTGGGATATTAAAATTAATCATTTTCAGATGCAGTAGAAAAATAGAATATAAAGTGCAAAACAATTGCCAAAACGCACATCTGTAATTATTTTAATATAATAATCCATAGATAGAAATTATTTTCCGAGATAAATAAATGATGATTTTTCTAAGATAAATAAATAATGAGCAAGCATTCTTACTTAAGATATTTTTAAGTACTTAATATGTTTAGCCACTTGTGAAATTTAATAAGTAGAAACGCATATTTAATATTAAAAGTCTTCCTTTTTAACTTTCGAAATTAAAGTAAGGAGAACAAAATTATTGTTTGCAGAGAAAATAATATTCAAACTGAGTTGTTTGTTTGTTTATTGTTATTACTTATATTATTATTATCACTCTTATATTAGTTTATTTGGACGTATCTTGTAAATTCCGTTATGTCATGATTGCCATTTGTTTCTCAGGTAGTTTCATTTCTGGGATTCAGTTTTAGAACTCTAGGGAAAACCTCGGCTGTACCATTTACTAATCAGTAAAATGTTAAACATGAATTAAAAAGAAGTCAGTGAGTCAACTGATATGTATTTCAATAACAGAAAAATAATAACAACAAGAAGCAGATCAAAGTGAAGTGAATTTCATGATGAGAGTACAGTCAAGTGAACACTGATTCACTTATAAAACATTTTCATTTCACTAAATAAAAAAAGTTCAATATATGATAAATATTTTAGAAAAAAATGACACTAGAATTCATTTTTACATAACATCTTTATCTAACCTGAAAACAATTTAAGTTTTCAGATATATAGATTAAGATTTAACTGATTGATGAATACTACCGGATGACAAATATACTTTCAAAATAAAAGTTACGTGACAACCTGCTACTATAGAAAAACTCTTTCTTTTTAATGTAAAATATCCAGTTGATTATTTTGAACTAAATTTTCTTTTCATGTTTTATCAAACACTTTCCTAAAGTTTAACAAACAAAAAGAATCACAAATGCATCACTATTTTATTTGTGATAATTATTGTGAAATTATTCTATGCTGAAGTTCTCAACTAATGCTTTTGCAGGCTTTTTAGGGGAAAATAAAAGAAATTCTGTCTTGAATAGCCATCAGTCACCTTTAGTTCACTAAGATGGCAGATATAATTTTTGTCAGAACATGTAGATACGACTGTATAACGCATTAAAATAGTATGAATGGAAGAAAAATTCCTAAACAGTTAAATGGAAGCTAGCTTTTCTCATTCAAGACAATGTAATTTTTTGTCGTATTGCGTAATATTTTAATTTTAAAATTAAACTTCACGTTTTAAAGCACGTTTTCTCTCTTCCTTCTCCACTTGCTCAAACATTTTTCAGTTGCCTTTCATACGCATGTACTTTTTTGTTTTAAAAGACTCGAAACATTAGCATAATGCTAATTACCTTTCATTGTTTATTCTCGTTGTTGATGACATATTTTCAACCTGTATTACAGTTCTTTTATATGTCATATTATGTAAAACCGAAACTGATATGTTATCAAAATGATTTTGATAAATTTTCGTCTTGGTTGGCGTTTTTGGGTTCGAAAAAAGGCTGTATTTCTTCCAGTTTCTTTCCTTTCGTTTCTGGCAGGAAAAAAAATGTCACCAAGCAGCTGATTATGCAGAATGTACTGTATAACCAATACACTCCATATGAATGTAATATTTCTTCTGTTGCTTTAAAAGATTTCGTCACAATGAAGACAAATGTCCAATTCAGACCTGTTGCCACTGCACTGATGAAACCTCGATAACGTACTGGTATCATTTCAGCGACCATTAACCAAGGCGTTGGACCGTAGCCAATAGAAAAGGCAGAAATGAAGGCCATCAAACAAACTAAGGGTAACCAGCCAAATTTTAAACTTACTGAGGCATCTGATCTTTTAGCGAGATCAAATCCGCCAAATACAATCAAACTCATGGCCATACATATACCAGAAATCATGAGAAGAGGTTTTCGTCCAGCTCTATCCATAAGGATACTACCAACGGCCGTAGCGATTACTTGCACAACGGAAACATAAATGGTAGCCCGAATTGGATCCAAACTAGAACCAGCGGATTTAAATATGTCAACAGTGTAGAATAAAATTGCGTTTACACCACTAAATTGTTGGAAAAACATGAGTAGGATGGATAAAATAAAAGGTTTATAAATAATGGGGACGAGAAATTCCTTCATCTGAACTCTTCCTATTGGCTGATTTTTGATTTCCTCTTCAATTTTTTTACATTCAGCTTCAGAATTGAAAGATTTACCTTGCAAAAACCTAAACGCACGCTTCGCTTCTTCTCTTCTTTTTTGTGCCATTAACCATCTGGGTGATTCAGGCATCGGAAGCATTAGAAAGGCTGCTGTTAAACAGATTATAGCTCCAGATACTGCCAAGTTTCTCCATGTTAAAAATGATCCTAATGATGCAACAATGAGAATTCCAATTACAACAAATAATTGAAAAGAGGCGCCTAGTAGACCACGAACTTCTGGAGTTGAAATTTCAATTAAATACATTGGTGTAGCTACTGAAACAATACCAACACAGAAACCCGACAGTATTCGCCCAATGAATATCCATCCTGTTGAAGGAGCATATATAATGAACAGCCAGCCTGCAACGAAAGGTGCAGTATTGAACATAAGAGTGCCTTTCCGTCCAAGAGTATTTGTGAAGTAACCTACAAAAGGAAAAATGCGTCATTAATGCAGATTCAAGATTCATAACATTTAAAATATAATATTCATACACATATTAGGCTCTGCTCTTTCCCCTAATATTGCCATTCAAATATGAGCAAACTTCGAAAGTCAATACTAAAAATAGTCAAGTTATTAACTGTTACAAAGTTTTAAAGCTAATTAAAGGATAAAATGTTAGTTATAGTTATATACTTCAGAATTATCGATAAATAACCTTATTAGTTGGTTCTTAAAATAGTATTCAGACTATTAAAAAAATCACTTGTTATGAAAACTCTAGTTTCACTAATATTCAGCAAAAATTTCATTTGTGTGGTTCTTTCTCCACTTCTTTGTCGTATAATAGACCTTTATAACGATACTATACGGGGACATTTAAAGTCTGTTGAGATGTAAGCTCAAAAGATTAATGGTAAAGGAAGAGAAACAGGAAACCTTTGGATTTCACTATATGGGATATTCTTGTTCAAAACTGGGAGGGAGCTGGACAAAGTCCTTCGTCACCACAGATTTTCAAGGACTCTTACACTGAGAGACACATTTTTGTCCTACTCATGACTATTCGTGAGGTCATTCCAGTGGCTATACGCTTGGACATGAGGCAGACTATCGACAAAATAAGTAGTGGAATGCAAGAGAGCAAACCTGTCTGGCCAGCAGATCAACTCAGACCTTCGCCTGTCCGTACAACAAATGCTCCAAACTTTAGAGTGGTTAAAATGCAAGGAATTTTCATTTCATTCCGCACTGTGCTCTGGTGGTGTAATTGTTAGTACATCCGGCTGGGGTTTTTCCAATTGCTAACCGAGTGTGCTACCAATTACATCGCAAGAACATGCAATGAGGAAGGCAAAAATTCCTTATAAAATTACATCGCTATTTCCATCTATTGCTGTGTATTTTACCTTAAATGCTCCTTGCCTTAAACATAATAATGAAAAAGGCAGCTCTCTATCTAAAGAGAATTTTTACTTTCCTGCTAGATTGCGGGACATAATTTCTAATTCATTCCTGATAAATCATGGAAATATTAACAATGTGCAATGAGCGTAAAATGCACAGTAGACAAATGCCTTTAAATTAGAATGATGAATGAATGTAGTGACTTCAATTGGATTAATGCCATGCTATTCAAATATAAATATGAAACTGAAAGAAGTAAAATGAAAGGCGTATTAAGATGCAATTTTAAAGCTGTGAATAAAATAATATAAAAAAATAGATCCCTTTTATTGAGAAATCCTTTAAATAATGCTGATAGTAAAAGGTCAACATTTTGTGACAAATTTCACATTCAGCTTGCTAAACAAAAGTAATGTTTTAAATTTTGCAGCCTCTAAAGTATATTAAGAGAATTTTTTTTATATTTGTGTGTATGTATATTACATTTATTATATTAAAAGAGATTTCCGAATAAAATAATAAAATTTGTAAAATTATTTCATTTATTTAATAAAAAAATATTATAAACATTTCATAAAACACAGTGAAGTATGTTATATAATCTTATCTTTTGTAATAATGTTTCGTTTAGTGTCTTATCTTTCCTAATTTCTTTCTACTCTGAGCAAAAATAAGAACCCCTGTAAAAGATCGTTGTTATAAAGTCCTATATGAAGGCTGCTACTCTAAATTAGCTAATCTCCTTATGCGCTTTTTTTTTAAGCAACCAGTTACTTGTAGCACATTTGAACGCTGGAATAGGATCTCATCCTTATCAACGAAAACCGAATTGGGAAGTGCATTAGGCCAAAAATGTGAAACAGACTTTCTAATTAAAAACCAAAACTTTATTCCATTTTGTAGCATCAGAATAGCTACTCAAAAATACGTTGCATAAAAATCAATAGTAATACTTTGCAGAATTACTGGAAAAAATTAAACTGCAGAATGTTAGTTTCAAGAGTTTATGTAGAAATTTTAGAGAAGATTACTGTTTCGGAAGTCGCACACTGAAAATAACTTCCTTATTTGTAATAATGCACATAGAAGTAGAATGGTAGAGTACATTGCCTTATTATTAAACAGTAAATTTGGGCCTTCTGTTACAAGGTACTTTCTCCCTCCTTCTAACATACATACGTCCGTGGTGTAACAGTAGCACACTCCGCGTATTCGAGAGGTCCAGGCTAGAGTCTCGGCAAGGACATTGCTCATTTTTTATATCTCCTGCATCAAAAATCCTGATGGCTCTACAGTGGAGCCCGAACTAAAAGGTGGTAGACAATATTCGTCTCCACCAGGATTTGGCGATTGGGTCCCCAGTCATCCTGTAAAAGAGGGAGTGTATAAGGTTTGAGCATGTAAGGGATGTCTTAATGCGCCGAATTTCAACCTGCCAAATTCCTCCCCAGACCCTCCAGGAGCTGAAAAGTGCACTTTTAAAAAATTGGTGTGCAATTCCATAAGATTTGGGAGTATATAAGGTATTTTCTCTCTCCTTCGTAGTGTAACGGTAGCACACTCAACGCGTATTCGAGAGGTCCAGGTTCGAATCCTGGACGAGGGCATGCTCATTTTTCATGTCTCCTGCATAAAAAATATTAATGATTCTACACTATACGCTAAGGAATTAATTGCGCATAAATTCTTAATGAGGAAAGATCGTCAATTTCCTGTTTCATCATAATTTGCTTATGTCACATCCCTTGATAGCAACAAAGAACTCCAAATTACATAAATCTGATATAAAGGCAACATCTGCAACTTAAGATATTATTGGGAAACTTTTCATTTCAAAGGGCAGTACTTTCAAAAACTTTTATTTAAAATCTACATTTATGCGTATGTAATACATAAATAAGATTTAGCAGCTTTCTTAAATTGGGAAATATAAAATCAAAACAGTTAATGCATTTTTCTCATGACGCAGATTTTAACATACTGTAATTATTGAAATTTTTTCTAACTTAAGAAATATTGAGATAAGAACGGAATTGTAAAACATTTTGATTTATCAAAATATGCTTTATCAGCATTTTATAATGACCAGAAACCATATATCAACCCTGCAGTAGTCACGTGAAAGCGTTATCTAGTGTGATTTATATCGCCTTCTCTCTCTTTATTTATGGCGCCTGATTAATCATGCATCATTAACAGTACCTTTCCTTGAAATGACTTTGCTGCAACTTGAGCCGGAACTTCCTGAGGAGAATTGTATGAAACTTACGGACATTTTTCTTTTAGATGAATGATGGATGTCATCCATACAACGTAATAATAATAATAATCATCAAGTGCGGTCTTTTCAATTCTCTTTTTGAATTAATTTAAAGCAATTTTAATAAATAAATACGTTCACATATACTATGTTTATTTACATCCTAAAACCATTTTTAAAATTCTTATCATCATTAATTTTATTTAAATTTGGCATTGTTTTAGACTACATTTAAATATAGATTTCAGAGAATTGTTCTCTTTTCCATCTCTTTAGAGATCTGTTACTCTATCCATCTATTGGACAAAAATAATTGTAAATACATTATGGATAAAAATAAAATAATTTTTCTGTTGTGGACATTAAAAGTATAAAATTACTTCCTGATTTAAATTCAGAGTAATTATATCTGTCTTTTATTGTCTCAACTTTGTATTTTTTTTTCAGCGTCTCTTTTCTTAAAAGCCAGTCTTCAGTAGCTCCACGTTACTCGAACTCCACTCGGTCCCTTTATGGCTAATAATCGGGACTGTATTGGACCTCTAAAATACCTTTCGTCGTGAACAATTAGAAACTCCTCTGCTCATATAAAAATCTCGAAACATTTACGAAGATCAAAATCACTTTTTATTCAGTACCTAATGACTACATTGTGTTGCAAAATGGTGCTTGAATATTAACCGGCATCCGGCGATACACTGCGAATAATTTATTGGAGATGAAAGATATTATCAATGTCAGCAAACAGATTAAACTGGAGTTTTGATTTCCCTATCGGGCATTATTTAGCAGTCTCATTCTCCGCAGCTTGACTCCATATGAACTGTACTAAGGAAGAAGGCAAGTGACTTTCCTCGAAAGTTTCCATTTACTACTCTAACATCTTGTCGACATTTGTTAACATTACATTTCCTTCGTACAGCTTCTGTCATGTACATCTCCGTTGCGTGAGAACTGGAACACTGGAGATTTTGGAGCGAAATGCCATCTGCCTAGAAATAACAGATGTGCTTCATTTCTCTCTTAAATGCATGATTCAAAAGGCAGTCTAAAATTAACGAGAGGCGAACAAACGCTGTCTCGAGCGCTTTCTCAGGAAAAAGATTTACCAAAAAGAGCGATACAAAGCACATTTGCGTTTGTTCTAACTGATCTGAAATTGACGTTGAAATTTTAAAAAAAGAAAAGTCATCTCCACGTTTACACGGCTTTAAAAAAGGGTAAAAAGAAAAAAATGAAGAAAAGGAAATTTTTCGAAAAGTTAAAAATGACTAATATCTCTCTCCTTCTACCCAGGAAATTTCAGAACAGTTTCAAAGATTGCTACAGTGCTCGCAGAAAAACGGAGGTCAAGATTTTTATTGTGCACGGTGTACTGGCTGATAGTGGCTAATACACAAATATCTCCAAAGTAAATATCTTGCCGTTATTTGATCAAAAGACAGATTTTTAAAATTAGTTTTCAATCTCAATAATCAGAATGTAAGCATGGATGTTTTGTGATTTTCTCCATGTGCAACAGAAATAACAGAAAAGTCCCCTTACAAAATCTACATCTATTCCCATAACTTAATGTTGATAAAAGTGAAGCAACAACCTGTGTTATATTTTAGAAACTATCGATTTTGAAGGCAAATAAGGTCCCTCTTCAGCAGGAGCTAAGAAATCTGCAACCGGAAAACCAAGTTACGGACATCTAAAGTAAAATAAATATCTGTAGTAGGGCATGCCTTCTCTTTGAGTCGTTCTACTAAAACAATAAAGTGAGTTGTTTAGAAATGAAAATAATAATAATAAAGAGGAGGAGGTTTAAAA